TCTCATTGCCAGAACCGTTTCCCAATTTAGAACCTTTTCTTCTGATTAATATTTGTATTCCTCCCACAATTCCTCTTCTTATAGGAATTCGTACTGGGAATTATTCCAGACCTACATAATGTCTCTGAAATCTTTTTATCCCTCTGTTTGCTGATCAGTGGAAAGGATTTTAATGCCAGGTTAGGTAATCGAGATAAATCCTAACTTCATCTAACTTTATCCCTCGTCTATGTCTTGGATATTCTAGAAACATTTTTTGTGATCCATAAATAAATTCACATAGGATTTTGATTAATCTTTTTTTGCTCTTATTTTTCCAGCGAAGCCTCATTACATTAAACGGGAGATCAAACAGAGTGAATTACAGCTTCCAGTGTTCAACTTGCACTAGTTTGTTCAGTGCCACACCTTTTTCTGTGCATGCTGAAAACATCAATAAGCTCCGAAGAGAACCTTTCGTGCACAGCTGGACACGTGCAATATATTTTAGTACCATCCTGAGGCAGGGATGGTTTCTTCCTAATAATGCCTTCTAGCCCCATTCAGTTATTTGAGTGAGCTTACATAGCAGCGCAGAGTATACGCTGATATAGTTCACTTCTCAGTGCCCCTTATTATAAAGTAGATGGAGCTAACCAAGCCTGTTCTCTTGTGGGTGCTTGGAGCCAGCAAAGACACGAGGATGCTGCTGTAGGTGGGGCTCTTGGCTCTGAGAGCTGCATCACAGCATGCAGTCCTGTGGGCTGGTTCCCTCTGCTTCTGTGTGCCCTCGTGCTGGACATCTCGTGGCTGTGAGCCAGCTGCTTCGCATGCACCTAAGGAAAAGCTTCACCAAAAAATGCGTATCCCATCTGGAAAGCTATCTGACCTTATGTGCAGGCAGTAACAGGGAGCTGGGCTTGAAATGGTATCTCTTTAGCCATTTTCTTCTGACACTGTTAGTCTGAAACCTCCTGCTGAAATGAACCCAGAAGTCAAAGTTTCCTTTCCAAGAAGAAAACTTTGGTTTGTGTGACTGCCAAATGGCAACTCGGCACCTCGGAGCCACTGGGTTAAATGAGCCCAGGGATGGTGGTGGCTTCAGTTCGTTAGGAGAACTGGACTGCGCGTTACCCCTGACAGTCCTAGCGATAGATGGAATGGAAAAAACCCTCCCTTGCTTTGACCCAGAGTTGCTCTTTTCTCTGATGGTTCATTGATTCCCTTTGCTTCCCTTCTCATTTAACAGATTTTATAAGTTGGGCATTTACAGATCTGCTGCTATTAACATTCAGTGTTAGTGGACCCGGGAGCTTCTCTGCCAACTACTGCAGAGCTTCTGAGCCTGCTGATTTAAAAATGTTCATTGCTGATAGATTCTAACATCTTTCTCAGTTACTAATAGACTGGAAAGTATTTCATCATCTTCAAGCAATGAAAGCAAATCATCCTTCTTTCCAAATACTGAATAAAAGTCTGTTTGAACACTTCTGCATTTTCTGCATAATCCTTCACAATTCTACTGCCTGCACCGAGCAGTGACCCTGTACTGTTGCTAGGGTTTCTTTTGCAAACACAACTTTCTTGTACTAAGCTCTGTCAGCCATGGATTTTATTCTGAGGTTTCTTTGTTTCGTGCTTCTGTTCATGTAGGTCAAGAGTTTTCCTGGCTATTGATTTACAACGAGTTATATGCAGTACTAGTGTTTGACATTTCTGTATTTGTTTTTGTTTGCTGATATGACTAACAAACGTTAACCACGCGAGTCAATTGTTTTAAGATTACATGCTGAGTGTCTGACAGTCTATTAATTTTTTGCTTTTTTTCTTTTTAAAGCGCCAGGTAAAATGCCCAAAGAGCTAGGAATAATATACCATTTCCCCAGTGTTCACATACATACGTATGTATGTATGTATACATATAAATATATGTATATATAACCTCCCCAGTAGCAACCCAATATAGTACACTTTTGACAAGCTGGAGTCTTTTAATATCTGAAGTAAGGGCTTGCAATATAGCAAAGGAATGACCCTGGTGAGAGATGTGCATTTCTTTTTTCCCTTTGAAATCTGACATGTCACGAGTCTCATTGTGTTAGTCTATGTGTGTTCTGCTGAGACTTGCCAGTGTTGAGCGATGTATTCCACAGAGACCTTGTCCAACAACAAGCACCATCCTGGCTTCAGGCAGGAGCAGAATTTTACCTGCAATGCACAGCAGAGGAGTCAGTGCTGGCTGGCAGAACTCAGAAGCAGTGCAGGTAGGAGGACGTAGAAAGTGTGGAGAATTAATTGTGAATCAGGAAGAGAAGCAAAAATATTTGGACAGGCACAGGAGGGGACAGGAAAAGTCTGTAGGGTAGGGGTAGAAAGAACAGTGCTGGTTCCTGTGTGTTCCCTGTTAAGAATGTGGAACAGAGTTCAGCACCACACAGTGCCTCTCATGCAGATGTAGCAACAAATAAATGAAACCACCAGCACAGCATGTGTGTTCAGGCTCAGTCTACTTTAGGTCTTTATAAAGGAAGACAGCATCTTACTGTTACCAAGAATCTCATTATTTGAAGGTATGAAGACCCAAAGGAAGATTAGGATAGCAGAACATCATCTCTTTAACCACGGTATCTTGGAAAGAGCTCTGTCTGGGCAGTGCTACCTAGGCTGCTTATGTCTGGAGAGGCATCCTGATACAGCTTCAGCAGGCTGGAGGTACAGCAGGCAGTAGAATAGGGTTGTGGGAAATCAGCCCCCTCTTTCACATGCTGTTTGTGCTCTGCAGACTCTTATATCCTCTGTGCAGCATCACCATATGTTGGAGATCCGCATTCCTTCATCAGAGCTGTTCTCCTGTTCACTCTGGCCTCCTTGCACCACTCTGCTGACACTGCACAGAGTGTATGGGCAGAGAAATACACAGAGTACGTATAAATAGAAATACATGCATGCAGCACATGGACTAACAGACGCCCTGCCGTAGTGCTGTATCCTCTCTTTCTGCTCACGTGTGTTTGCTTTGGGCTGTACATTTCTGCAACCACAAGCTATCAATTAGAAATCCAGCAAATTATCCAGGCTGAGAATACGTATTTATCTTACACTCTAAGTTTTTTCTATAGCACCCCCAACGGGTGACAAGGTGGTAACATGATAGCAGGGTATGCTGCCCTTGGATTTGGCTGTGTAGGTATTTTTTGTGTATTCTTTATACCTTAGAGCCCAGTGGCTCTCTTTTCTCATAACTACCGTTACAGCACTTTCAATCTAAGGGGCTTTCCTGTGCTGAACCCTTGTCTTGCACTCTCACCACTGTGTCTCTTCATTTTCATTAGTAGCAGATGGAGCGTGAGTCCCAGTTCTTCCTTTCCATCCTTGCTGCCAAGAGATCTCTGGTGCCTAGGCATATTTTGTAGATACTTAATCTTCTGCTAGTTTTCATCCAGTGATTTTGATTAATTTTATCCATGTACATAAAATTATTTTGTGAGTGACACTTTTCATTTAAAAATCCTGTTGAAAGCTAGGTTTACTAACCTGATTCCAGTGAAAACATTTAATGCTTCCTCTTTTCGAATTTGAACCTCATTATTATTTTTCTGTAATCCACTTTTAATTGTAAGTACCCAGCATTCTGCCAGTTCACGCGGCACCAAATGACACAAGGTTGCTCTGGAGTGCTCCAGTGAGCATCTTCTGGGGAATATTGAAATTCAATGGAAACAACATGAGAACCATTATCTGAAACAGCCTCTTCAGGCAAACCATATGGGGTGAAATATTCTGCACTGCTTCAATAATCTGAGCACAGATATGTTCACTGGTAACTCTGCAGTAAGCATCACTCATTTGCTTTGTCTGTGCAGTATTAATGAGCCATTTCAATAGACAGCAGGTTTCAACTATATTTGGTGCATATTCATGTTGCTTCCTTCAAGTTGTTTCGAAACTCCTTTCCCTAGATTAACTAGAAAGTCTCAGTTATTGTGTCAAGAGCTGGGTACCAAAGACAAGGGTCATCCTGTCCTTTGTAGTCTGGGCTGAAGAGTGGGGCTGGTGTTTGGAAGAGAGATGGTGTGGTAGGCATGCTGCCTTTGCTGAGCCTTCCTTCAGCAGAGAGGTTTGGCTGCTGCTTTCAGCAGTGTTTGCCAGGGCTACTTCTTTCTGAACACGAAAAACCTCCATATTATTTTGCGGTTCATCTGTCACATGGGGTTTGTGGTTGCTAGCAAGCAGTGGAGCCTTACAACTCTTCTTACAGATAGACTCACATTATTATCATGGAGGAGTGAGAATATGCTGAGCTTGAAATGGAGAGCACAGAAGGAAAAGCTGTATGTTTTGACTGGGCTGATTTGTGCTGGGTTTCTAAATACCTATCTGTGTTGCTGTTCTGATGTGGTCAGGGGAGCTGAATTGCCCCAGACATTGGTGCAGGTACTTGCAGAGCCTCCCTGTGCATGTATGCAGCATATTCCACTGGGCTGATAAACTCTGAAGAACGGTGTCTGAGAACCAAGATGTACAGAGAGATCTGTGAGGGGGTGTCAAAAGCCCAACAGAGGGTTCTGGTTAGTATTGAAAACCATGTGGAGGGTTCCAGGGAGTGGAAAAGTCACTTGAAATTTAAGAAATATTTTGATTGACATCCTTTTCTCTTTGTCAGCATTCAGCAACCTTCCTTTATCTTAGTGTTTTTTTTGTGGTAACTATAGGGAGCTTAGCCCAGACAATAGCTGATAGAATGTCTGAATAGATTAGCAAGGTTACTCACAGGTCTTTCTAGGGAAGGCATTCACACTGCAATCTTGAACTAACCACTTCCCAAGCAAGTCAATTCAGATATTTAAACAGCACCACAAGGATAACTGAAAGAGGTTGCCAACACCAAACTAGGTTAGCTTATGTGTCTTGGTTGCTGGTAGAAAAAGAGGGTTTTTTAATTGCAGCTCTGTATTAATACTAAGTTCTCTTTACAAAAAAAAGATGAAATAAAAATTAAACTTCTGATTTATCCAGCAGGATGGAACTGGCAATTCTGTGGCTGAGGGAGATGGAGGTCGGCAGCCAGTGTTGGAGCAGAAGCCACATCCTCGAGTTGCAGCAGCGCAGTTTGATGCTGTGGTTGTGCCAGGGCTGCTGGGAGAAGAGCTGGGCTGCCTGAGAACTGAAGTCCTCTCAAGCTGGTGGAAGAGCTACAGGTGAGGGTTTTTTCCCCTTCTTTTTTGGGAACAATCTTCTGAAGGGAAGGAACAAAGACTAATGACAAGCACAGATGTCTGTGAGGCTGTCCTACACCTTTTCAAGTCCTTGTATTTCTTTTTATATATTGTTAGAAGCAAGTTTTATTGCGATGTCTTTTCCTTCTCTGTAAAAAAAGAATTGTTAACATAGCACAGCCTATCTCCAAGGCTGTGGTGGCCCTGCTGCTCCTTTCCTTTCTGTCTCTGGAAATTGCAATAATTTTAAATATCCTCTTGGAGCTGCGGCAGCTTCTCTGTTCCCAGGAGCAGACAGCCCTCTACCTTGGCACAGGCTCTTCTTTGGTGTTGCTGCAGCTTACTAGAGAGGTTTGGCTCCAGTCCTCCTTGCACTGAGAGCTGAGTGCTATGAGGGGGCTCCTCAGGGCTCCCCCAGCTGTCAGCTGTGTACAGGAACGTGGTTGCTGGTGCCTGGGGGAGCTGGGAGGATGGATGGCTCCACCACTGCCAGTGTCCAGCTGCTAATGCTATTCCATGTGTCAGCAGCCTTGGGGACAGCTTGGGGAGCAGGACAGAAATGTCAAGACCTGTGCCTGGGTTCTTCTGATGGCCTTGTGAGCTCAGAGGTGTCCCTGGCAGGGGATGTGCGCACTGCTGGGGCTCCCCAGCTGTCCACTGCCACCAAGGGCTGTATTTGGTTGGGTGCAATGCTGTATTTGGTGCCTAGTGGCTGCGTTTGCTAACAATCTTGGGTGGTGTTAAATAAATAGAGAGCAGCATTTCATGCTGTTGCATTCACTCAGCTGCCAGGCAGGGCATTTGGAGAGCTGCTGGAATCCCAGACTCCTCCCAGCAGTAAGCCAGTTCATAGCCAGCATTTGCTGGGTTGGAGTTTGCAGATAGGAACTTGACCTGGGATGTTGGAGATACCAAGTGGGTCTGATTCTGCCTTCATTTACTGAAGACTAGCTTTTCTTTCAGTGCAGTTTGTGCTGTTTTTCCTCAGTGAAGCAGTAGAAGTCCTTGTGAGGCAAGGAGCATGGTACTGATGATGCGGGGAGCAATGGAGGATGTGGGCACAGCAGGAGATGTTGAATAAGTGCCCCAAAATGATGACTGATCAATGTTAAACCTCAAGGAGGCTCGAGGGGTCTGAGCATCCCATTATTGGTGGGCCAGTTGATCCCAGAAGATTCATGGAAGACCTGGTGGGGACTTGTTGCTGCTAGCCAGAGGCACAGTTATCCCAGGAAAGTCTGAAATGCCCCCACAGCCGAGGTGGTGGGTGGGGGTGCTGTTTTCAGAGCTGTGCATTGAGGGCACAAGGTGTGGTTGCAGAAGCAGCAGCTGGAGCATGGGAAAGGCTGCTGGGGTCAAACAAGCAGGAGCACAGTTAAATCTGGGATGAAGATTTTTTTTCCCAGTGAATGAGAAGGACACTTAGAGGGCCTGGCACCTCTCTTGCAGGAGTTTAAGGCTGCAGGAGGGTTGCCCTCTGTGGGGATTAGCTGCTGAGTTGAGGCTGCTTGGAGGGGGCATTTGGCTTCTGGACTGTATGTTGGGGTTGCCTGTGGGCATGTCTCACTGGGTTGGCTGGGACAAAAGGTAGCAGCTGGCTCGGCCTTCCACTGTCAGATGCTCTTCACTGTAGATAAAAGCTTTTTCTGGTTATTCTAGTTCCCATGGCTGTAAGGGTTCTATAAATGGCAAAGGCTGCCACTGTGGGTCAGCCCTGTGGGAAGTCTCGTCTTGTCCATCTGCCCCAGGAGCAGGCTGGCAAACCATCCTCCTTTCCTAAATGCTCCACAAAAACAGGCGTCTCAGTGCTTGAACTGCAGCCTACCCGAGACAGCAGCTGTGTGCCTATGGATGTGTTTTGGGTGAGCTTTGGGAGAGCTTTTGCCTGGCCCAGCCATGCACGTAGTGCCAGCTCCTGCTGGGTATCTGAGATATCTTAGGCTTGGCTGCTGGAACAGAGAAACCCACTGTGCACTTCTTCAGCCTGCCCCTACTTGGGTGACTACAGGAGTCTGAGTACTACTGGTTGTAATGGAAGTGTTGGGAGTAGCTATCCTGCTATTTTTCTGTTAAAACCCATATTTTCTTTGCCTAGATGCTTGCTACTAACTGCTTTTTCACCTCTTGTCCACCCCTCCACCAGCCGCTTGGGGCCACCATTTTAGACTTCAGCTGGAGCTGCAAGGAGTTAGTGATCTTGTTTTCCAGTGACCCTATTTGAAGTAGAAAGAACTGGATTTTGCCATCATTTACACCTCAAGGAGCTGCCACAGGAGGAGGGGCCAGTGTTTGCCAGCTTGCTCTGCTCCCTGCAGCCCTCACTGGGGAGCCGCGCCACAGGAAATGCTGAGCAGGAATCAGACATGAGAGCATCGTGCTGGGTTGGTTTTGCTCTTGGAAACAGAAGGTGGAGCAAGCCACAGCTGAGACAAGGTGACTTTTGGTTTGGTGCATGTTTTACTTAATCCTTGCTAACATATCACAGAAGCAGGCCTTGCCTTTCTCCTGATCCCCAGCTTGTCTCACAGCTCCTGCATCAGGAAAATCTCAGCCTGTGTTTGTGGAGCTAAAAGAGGGCAGCCAAAAGCCATGGTTGTCCTGCTGCAACAGCTCCTATTTCTTTGCAGTGCTAGAAGGGGCTGCTTCTCCTTCTTCACCAATGTTCCCTTCAGCCCAGCTTGTGCCGTACTCCATTTTATCAAGGCTCCAACAAACACAGCTCTTTCAGAACTCCAGTCTTTGTTGCAATGTGCTTCATAAACACTGCAGTTAAATAGATGGTAGAAGGCATTTTTTCAGGGGAAGGACAGCAGGGCACCTGAAAGGACAGGGGCCCTGCCGGCTTAATTGGAAGTTAAACAGCAGTTGCTCCAGGGACTGAGTTGTGTGATAGCAGGAAACCTTAGTGGCTTTTTTTTGTGCCCACATAACTCATTGAGACTTGGGAACAAGCTCTGGCTACCCCATCTGCTCTGGTTGGACCATGCTCATCTCTGCACTTAAGTCTTATCTCGTTGCTCTTGAAGAAAAGTCTTTTCTAAAGAATTCCTTATTTGGAAGCCTTAATGAGAGGTCTTTAAAAAGACTTTGTTTAAAGAGTAATGAGATGAGACCAGCACCAAGATGGACAGTGGGAGTCAGGCTCCACCAGACAAGCTACCACAGCAGAGCAAAGCCTGACCAGGGCAGCTGAAGTTGCCAGACCTTGCTCCCCAGCTCCAATGGGTTGTGCAAGGACAGCTGAAGGTTTTCTGCTTCCACATAACCCAGTATCTTTGGCAATCGCTGTTCTGGATGCTAGAGTGCATTAATAGGCCAACCCTATTTCCTCAAAGGGAATCTCTTTGAAATTTTTGGGGTGTTTACAGTTCGTTACAGAAGTCAACTAATTGCAGCTTGACTTGTGGGCAGGATACCCAGGGAGCTGGCACTGGTGTAGAACTACCAATGCTGTGTTCCTCCGGGATGCTGCTACCAGCTATTGCAGCTGGCATCAACACATGTCTTGTCTTCCTCTCTGATCCAGCTGTTTAGGCTGAATCACCACTTTGCTGTTGGGAAGAGCTGAGATGTAAAACTGCCAGAACTTATTTGTGTCTTCTGCTACCTACATTACCCACATGTGCACTCACCTCCACAGGTACAGGCTGCCAGTGCCTGCTGGGAGCTGCAGCCAGGCAAGGGCAGGAAAGCTTCTTCCCTCATGCAAATGCATTGGATAGGGGGCTGCTTCTCCACTCTCTGGGAAGAAAGTGAGGCAGGGTGCGTATCTCTTCTGTCTTCCTGAATTTCTGTTATTGCTTGTCCAGTGTAGGACATGCTGCAAAGAAAGGAAGGCAGCTTAATTGCCTCCCATCTAATCCTTCCTTGGGCATCCAACCCTTGCTGTCAGATCTGAAGCAGGGAGTGTGTCTCCTCCAGCTCTGCTTGTGCTCTGCTGGAAAAATGATGTATGAGGGGCACAGCTTCTAGCAGCAACCCTTCCCTGCTGATAACTGCAGGGAAACCTAAACAATACTAGTAATCTGGCTGTAGCTGCTAAGAACCAGGTAAAGCAAAGAGATGAAAAGCCGAAATGGAGATTCTGGGAGAGTGTTCCATTCCTCCTGTGATGCCGCACATGGATAGGGGCTGCCTCAGGCTCTGATCCTGCAAGGAGGGTGTCCTGGCTGGCAAAGACAGCCTTGGTGCAACCAGAGGAGAAGCAGTAGAAGAGATCAGTTTTGGGGAGTTGAGTTGTGTTTGTTCTTTCCTTATCTCTTTCTCTGCCCTCCAGTGTCAGGGTCTGCAGTGAAAGCAGGGTCCATGCCAAGCAGGACGGAGGACTCTAAGGGGTCACAGCAGAGAGCTGCATCCATGGGAGCATCCTGGAGCAACTGGCCACATGGTGCTGACATCCGAGAAGATTTTTAACGTGATTTTTCACCATGCTGTTCGCTGCTGACACCACCTTCCTCACTGCAGGGTAAACCCCTTCAAACCAGAGCAGCTGCGTGTGCATTCTTAGGAGTGAAACCCATGGAGGGCTCGTGAGAGTACCAAAGCAAATTGGGGGGGCAATAGGGGGGAATGGATGGATACCCCTGAGGGGTATCAGTGGGGACACGCAGAAAGAAATGGAGGGTGCTAAGGGTCATTAAAAGCAGGCTGGGATTTATAGGGAAGGTACCAAAAGCTTTAGAGTGACCCAAGAGGCACACAAAACTCCTGGGAAATATTGGGATGGAAATGGAGGGGCTCTGGAGGCACTGAGAACCACCTGGAGGAGCACTGCTGGAGCAGAAGGACAAATAACAATGCTGATTTCCTTCTTGTTTCTCCAGCAAACTGGAGAACTGCAAAAGCAAACTAAAAGTTCAAGAGGACCAGAGGGATTTGGGGCACCAAGACAAAGATCTGGCACCCTGGGGGCTCCAAAAACTATATGTGGGGGTGTGGATGGCACCATAAAAGGACAAAAGTCTCTGGGAACACCAAAGAGGGCTCTGAAGGAGCCCCAAAACCAAAGGAGTGACATGCAAAAGAGGAGTCCTGTATCTATCCTTTTTCCTCCCTGCTCTGGCATCCAGGTTGCGGCTAAATTTCGCAGTGTATAAGTGTCCCAAGAGAATTCCCCTCTCGTCCGTGCTATGGAAGAGAAACATTCCTGTTTCCACTCTGATCTTACAATGGCTTGTCAGTGACAAAACATTCCCAAATCCTCTCATTTATCAAATGGCCAATCCTGTTAACAGCTTAAGAAACATAATTACCTGCAATCTCTTCTGCTATTCATTTTATGCCTACACTTCCCTCTTGCTGGCAGCTTACCAGCAGGCAAGACGAGAGCTGAAGCAGGGCTGCAGCCACCGAGCACTTCAGCAATGCAATTTCCCTTAATCACCTGCACGGTGATCACGGGAGTTTTGCCTCCCCATTTGCAGCAGCCAGAAGCAGGTGAGGGAGTAAAGCACGGAGCCAAAACATCAGCTAACATGCCACCAGATGTGTGCGGGTTTTCAAGCACGGTTACATTTTCAGTGCTGTTCCACCTGTAAAGTGGGAACTGTGTCAGGATATGCTTTTAGGGTACGTGGTATCGCAGCCAGCTTTATGTGCCTTGGAGATAAATGTGCATGGGTGGGCTCAGAGAGAAGCAGCAAGAAGTCAGAAAAGCAGAGCCCAAAACACGTGTGAGCTGGTGAAGTATTGGGGGAAGGGGAAGGGAAATCAGGGTCAGCAGGAGATGGTTTGCTGCACTGCTAAAACGGTCTGAATTTATCTTATTTTACAGTGCATCTACTGCTTGTGCGACATTTTATGCTGTCTCATTTGGATTGTATCTCAAGGAGGATTTAGAGGAGCTTGCAAGCTGGAGATCTGCTGGCTTCCCAAAGGTTGGTTACGTACAGGACAGCTGAAGCCAGAGAGGAACATCTGTGACCACGATAGCTTCTTCCTTCTGCCTAGGGACTGGAAAATCCCTGGGTCTGTCCCACTCACACGGCTGCTGAGGAAGCCATCTTTTGTGCCTTTGAATCTTTCACTACCCTGACATTATCACTGTACATTTAACTGGCCAAGACATATCCTTGCCTGTGCTGTCTGTTTAGACACATTCTAGTTTTGAAGGATTTTTGTTCGCATACTCTACCTCTCTTTTCGACCATATCAGCTATTTCTGATCCTCAATGTTTTGGATAAGTGATATACATTTCTTCTGACACTTTCATATGTTATTTTTAAGCTGTGTTTATGCTTCTTGCCAACATTTTATCCTTGCGGTTCTTTGAATTTTGTATTAAAAACCCTATGAACAAACTACACAATTCAGAAGATCTTTTTAAGTCAGTCACCATCTTAGGGGATTTCAGGCTTTTTCATCCTGCTAAGATACTGAATTCAAGTATATTTTGGTCACTATTAGTGAATAACCCTTTCCTAATAGCACTTTGAACCTCCAATGTTGAATTTGAATTGGACATCAGACATTTGAATTCAGCATTTGAATTTATGTTGACTGAATTTGAGTGCAGCCTGAACATGGCCTGCACCCAGGATCTGAGGAACTTGGGTGGCTCTAGGCTGCCTGGCTGGAGCTGTGCACTGGTTGGGAACAGCCAGGAGATGCATAAGAAAGTAACTGAGACTTAAACAGAGCTTGAAACAAGTTGTGTTCCTGTATTTAACAACATCTAATATACATAAAGGGAAATTAAAAACCGCAAACAAATAAACCGTACCTAAAGAAAGTAAAAACTGCCCCAATAATAATAATAAAAAAGTAGGACATCTGTGTTTTTATACAAGAACTTGTGTTTCTTTTATGACATTTTCTTCAAATCATGTAAGCCCTTCAGAGCAGCTCTAATGCCCACTGGAGTTTTCCAACCTAAATGTCTTGTCGTCAGCGTAAGAAACAAAGATAATATAATTTGAATGCTGGATGCAACAACATAGGCTGCTCTTGAGGCTGATTCTCTCTGCTTCAGATGGGAATGATGGCTCCAAACAGAATCACCAGAACAGACTGAGAAGCAGGCATCTCATTTGTGAGGAAATGGTCAATATTTCCACTTTTTTCTTCCCATTTGTTTCTTCGTAGGAAAAAAAACCAAAATAAACCAAACCAAAAAAACCCACACAAAACAAAACAAAACAAAACAAAACAAAGCCCCTCACAGTTGCACAAAAATGCTGCTATTTCAAAGCAAATTTTAAAACATTTCTGATTTGCAAATGGCATTTCAGCATTTTTGTGAGAATAAAATACTGTGGTGCTGTGTTTAAATATTTCATTCCAGCTACTTGAACAAACTTACAGTCTTATAATAAGTTTTTTTTTTTTCTGACATAAAAGCATGCTGCTCTGTGGTACCGATAGCTTAGGCATCTCCAGCTCCAAGCGCAGCCACAGGAGCCCTCCCTGCTCACAGCTGATCAAAGGCAAACCACACTGCCACCCACGAGCCACCGCTTGTCCTCAGCATCCAGCCCAGGAGAGAACACAAATCCCAAATCCCCCCGAGCCCTTCTTCCCCAGAGGCAACACCATCCGTGAGCAATACACGCTGCTGTTATAACCCTGCTGTGAAAAGGTGGAGCAAGTTCAGTAAACAAAAATACTTTGCCTTGGTTCAAATTGTGGTGAAACAAAGCATCAGCCAGCGCTGGCTGTTCAATTAAACTGTTTGTAGTGCAGGCTTTGGAGAGGAAAATGCTGAAAAAAGGATTTGGGGATCGTACGTTTTGCATGGAGAAAACGTTTAATGAGAAATTTTCCAAACCTCTTTGCAGCTCACAGGCAGCACTCTTCCCCTGCATGTGACATGTGCATTGCCCTCAAATTCAGAGGATGGCTCACAGCTGCTGTGACTGCAACCAGGATGTATGTGGGGCTGAGAATTGCCCATGGGAGCCAGGAGGTGAGTGTCTTTTGTTTGGATGTCCCTGCTGAGGGATGCTCCATCCATGGCCCCGCTGCAGCCATCCCTGTTTTCTGGGGGCAAATGGGTCAGAGAGAACATCCCTGTTACACCAAGAGGCCTCTTTGACATTTCAAGTAGCATTTCTAAATGCTATTTGCGTCAGACATGCGAGCTGTCCACATACAGTGCCAGGTTTGGTGTGTTCCTTCTGCTTTTTACCACTGCTAGCAAAAATTCCCACTGATGCCATGTTGCTGTAGCCTCCATTTCTTGATCCCCACATTCTCAGAAAGACGCATTTTAAGATGCATCGTCTTCCCTCAGCTAATTCAAAATTACCTGCTAAGAGAGAGAGCCAGGAGCCTTTCTGTGTGCTGGGTTTGTGTAGCTGGCATTGCTGCTTCTTTCCAAGCCCCTTCCTGGGGTTGAGCTCTTCTCTCACTGTCTCTCCTTTCTAATGTGTGGTTTGCAACTACACTTTTTCCACACATCAGTTGTGAATGTTTCTCATCCAAAAGCTCTCAGAATATTGTGTTTTAGTTAATTCTGTATGTAATTGTGACGTGAGAACAAGGAGCTGTTGTTCTTATCCTAGAGGATTCAACAGATCAGAGGTGCTGAGTCTCCTGTTCCTCAGCATTTACTCTGAAATACCCATTTTCTCCCTTTTTCTGGAGCGGTGCTTCTCCACCTTTTGGTGCTGGCACTCTGCTATGGGAACTGCTGCACTGCACCCCAGGTTGCAGCTGAAATTATAATGCCAGCTGAGCCCCAGGACTCCCAGCTCCTCCTGTTTCTTCCCTTGCTCTTCATGGCCACACTGGCCATCCTGGGGCTGGGATCTGTGATGCCCCTGTGGTGGTGGTGGCTCTCCCAGGGTCCACTATGACCTATTTTGTGGTCTTGGAGCATCCTGACTCCATCGGCTGACCTCAGGACATCTGTACCCATGGTAGCACCTTGCTACCCGGGGATCCTGCAGAAACCAACAACCGATGTGGCTGACTGGGGGCACACTGCAGGGCACATGCCAGGAGAGGACAGGAAACTTGCTGGCTCACCATACAGCTCCACCCAACCACCAAGCTGCCTTAGAAAGGCTCGTATTAGCACAAGGGTGCTTTGCATCCCCGCCGCTCTGAGCAGATCTGACGGTTCTCGATGCGTACGAATGAGGCCGCAGCCAGCACGCAGGGAGGATGCAAGCAAGCACAAGTTAGTGCTTGTGTTTGCCACTGATAAATGTATTAGTCTTTAAAGCGGTATTTAAACTACAACCCTTTTTCAGGCACCTCAGCACTCCGTTATTTTGCAGGCCTTGTAAAGGAATGTGATTTTGCCTTTTAACTGGAGTGTATCTTATGCTAAGCAGTGAGATTAAGCGTAGGGATCCAAAAGAAGTTGCTGAATGGCAGAATTGCCTTTATAAATAACATTAATAATTTATCCGATCCAGGGGTTTTTGGGTAAATGAAATACCTGCCTCTGTATAAAGCCCACTGAATAGGAACACATCTCCGCTTTTATGAGGCTTGGATTAAAGAAGGGAAATGCTAAGGGGCTTATCTTCGCTTCAATTTGCAGCCCTTCCGGCTAATGGCAAACTCATTTAAGAAGCTCCTGTGTTTGTGCCAACTCTGCCTTTATTCTCGGTGCCGGAGCTTGGCTGCATTTCTCGCCGCAGTGCTGGAGAGAGCAGAGAGGAAGCAGTTTGTTTTCTTGACCTCAGATTATCAGACAAAAGCCAGTGAGAATAATTTTGCTGGAATCCTCCCTGTTACGAATTGTTTAAAGCGTGGTGGCTGGCGAGATGCTGACGGTGTGGGGGTTTGCCCCACCTGCTGAAGAGGACAGGGCTGTTGGCTGGGCTGGGATGAGACGAAAGAGCAGCTGTCATCTCTCTTCTGAGATACCTCTTCCACACGCACAGACAGTTGTGAAATGGCAAAACCCATCCTCTACAAAAACCACGAGCGGTCGCTTTTCAGCTTTTCTTTTATGCCGGTAAAATCAATTGCTTCAAAGTTCACTGAAGGTGAAGGAAACATTTGCTTTCCATTCAGAGCTAAGCGGGCCATCTTCGAGAGCAAACGCTCGCAAAAGGGAGAATAGCAAAAATCAGCAGAAAAAGTCTCTGAATAATTTGAACTGGGAGAGGAAAAAGCAATTTGCTCCCAGTTATTCCACAGACAAAAGTATGAATAAAAAAATCATGAGCTATTTACCCTGCCCAGGCTATTTGCATGAGTTTTATGCTATTCCAGTTTTGCTTCCCTGACCCCCAAAGACCTTATCACTGGATCCTCAAGGCACTTCAGTAAAAAAAAAAAAAAAAAAAAAAAAAGCATGCTCTTTTTCTTTTTTCTTTTTTTCTTTTTTTTTTCCATGCTGGATCAGCAATGACCAAAAGCAGAGAAAACAAAAAGGGGTCTAAATCTGAACTGTGCTGATGCTTGCGTGTGTGTTGACCCGGATTAGAGACCTGGACTCTGGCCTGCCAACTCTATAAGCATAGAAATTTTCTTCAAAACAGTATTATAAGTTTGTGTGCTTTGCTTTCAGATAGCGAGGCTGTGGCAAAGGCATGCGGGTATTTACAATCTGCTTTAGGAAAACCTGATAGAAGTTGTTAGCTGCTCTGTTGCAAAGGCAGTTTATGTCACCCACATCTGCTGCTGAAGGTAGCCCAGCCAGACGGCTGGCACGGCGCAAAATGCCAGCAACCACACTGGCTGCAATGAGGAGACGAAAATGAAAGAAGGATGAAGACCTCATAAGCTTTATCAAAAGCCACCAAAAAGTTGGGAGATTTGGGGATTACATCATGTAATTATATTACCTTAAAGAAAAGTTTACTGAAGATTTCCTGTTTTGTGTTGCCAGCTCTTTTCAGCCATTAGTAACACATAACTTCCCATTGTCTTTTCCCGAGGCACAGATGGGCTAATTTTCAGCTACCTGATAATTACACATTGTTTGAAACTGTATCAAAAGCTTCTGTTCCTGCATTTCTCCAGCAGCTGTGCTACAGCTCACCAAGTCCCTTGATCACGGCTTGCAAGGGCCCACATCCATCCATCTGTCTGGAATGGAGTGGCAAAGCCTCCATGGTCACATTCACACTTTGCATGTTGCTGGGATTTGCTCTGTTCTCAAGGTGGGTGGAATGCCTAAAGCTCCACTGAAAGCATCTTCTTGGCTCAGTATCAGCACCTAAGGTTAATATGGGGATAACGCTGCATCGAAACACGTCTACTTGAATATGAGTGGGGATGCTGACATCATGGGGAAATTAAGGGTAAAGGAACACGAGATGCTGGAAATCAGCATAACAACGGTTTAATCTTGATTTTACTTGGGCAAGGCTGTGGATGTGGCCACACTACAGGGATGCCAAGTTGGAGAAATGTGGCCCGTTGTCTGTATGGAGAGGAAGGGCGATGGTCCTTTCCCTAGAGTGATGGTTGAAGCTGGAGAAACTTCCTCTCATCTTGATCCCTCCTCTTTGAGAGTGGTTACTCTGCCAGTTGAGCTCTGATTGGTGTTAGAGGGCATTTTCTCAGCTTTTTGGGGGGTCCCGTGGGAAAATGCAAGAGGCCTCATGTCTGTGTTTTCTGCTTCCCCATCATCGTGCATGCTTGTTGCCATATCAAAGAGGGAAATTAAATTGGGTTGACATGACTGGCTCTTGACAAACCCATGTTCTTTGATTTTATTCATCATTTTACATCTTACAAGTTGCTCGTTTAATACTTTCTTCTAACCTCTTGAAGAGAATTGAGATTGAGTTGATTATTCCAAATTTTCTTAACGTCTCCACTT